GCATGCCAAGGTCACCATTTATTCTGTATTAATCCCAAGATATCACATGCAAGAGGCAGAGATAACTGTGAATACTCTCTACTGGTCCTGCAGAGTGCATACAGGAGGCAAACAATCCATAAAGGGGAAACAGAAAGCTCTACCAGTGCACAGGCCCCGCTCACGGACCCATGGGAAGGACAGTGAGATCTTGAGCATCTCTCCTGCCTCCCCCTCTCCAGAGATCTGTGGATTCCAACTGTTCCTGTTCCTAGCTCAGCTCTGGGAGGTGAGCCACAACTCCTTGTTCACCTCATCCCAAACTGCAAGGAACGACCAACAACCTCTGCAGCCTCTACAGCAAAACAAAAATGCTCGTCCAAACAATTTTTACCTGCCCTTCCCAGCAGGGAACTGCGTGCAGCTGTCCCAGGTAATGTTGTGGAAGTTCTCTTTGGCCACAAAGCCTGGCAGGCTTCTACTCCTGGTCATCCACAAGAAAATCCAGCCAGCACTTAGGGACACCTCAGTTGATGGGACATGGCAGGAATGGCAGCCCGATTCCTCAGTTTGTCCCAGGGTATCACTAATTATTTCTACATCTCTTGAAGCTTTTATTAACAACAAACATGAATAAGCTGCATTGTCCTCATGTAGATTCATGTTTAATGAAGTTACAACCTGTGTCTATTTAACATAAACCCATCTCCATTATGAAAGCTTGGCAGTGAATAATTCTAATACTGTGTTATGTTCCTGCGATTTCCATTTCAGCCAGTGCAATGTGGAATTGGCTTTCATTATCCCAATTGCCATTGATGTTCAGGTTGAAACTAAATAAGATTACGTTTTTCTCATTCAACCTATGGCTTTTCTGAAGGAAACTACTGTTAAAACATGACAGACATTTATTTAATTGCCTTCTGAGCAAATTGTAAGCCGTAAAACAGCACAAAGGTCAAGATGAGAAAATCTTTGGGTTTTACAGACATTTCAGTGTTATCATTAGATAAGACCTTGAGACATCTGCATGTTAGTTAATGGTTGTTCTGCTTTCCTGGATAATGACCCATTTCTCACAGAAGAGCTAGTATCTATAAATTTCTCACTTGGTGCCTGGATATTTTCATAAAAACTAAGATATTTGAATTCAGTGTATTTCATACACCAAAATATTTCTGCAAAGACTTTTTTTAATCTACTTTAAAATGGTCACATACACATAAAGCACTGCCTCTTTTACCTCTCACAAAACAACCCCAGGTTCTGATGGATGAGAGATATTGCTTAATATATAAAAGCTTTTCAGTTTTGTCAGGTTTTTAACCCTGCTCGTTATTAGATGAATAACCCCAAAATGTGCATCACTAAATATTAAAAAAAAAAAAATTTAAAAAATCCCATCTTGTTTGAGCCACAGTTACACCAGGAGATAAGTGTCCATGTATTACATCTCTCATCCCAGCTGTCAGAGGAGGGCTCTCATGTTTAAGTGATTTAAGATTATGGATCAGAGGCCAATTTCTTCCCCTTAGGTAATAATAATAAATATGCTAATGCTTTTAGTGTCATTGTTAATTCCTTGTTTGTGAGCACTCAGAGACAGGCTGAAGCAATGTGGTCTGAAGGCAGGATTTGAAGATGAATTGTTCCCAAGGAGATCAGGGAAGCCAAAATTCTGAGCTTAAAGCATCTCCACTTCAGTGTGGGAGACCAAATCCTCGTCCACATACAAGGAAAGCACACTGAGATTTTAAACTCTTTTCAGGACATCCTGCTACACAGACAACAAGGACTAGATCTTAACTTAACCTCCTCCACTCTAATTTCCATTCTGCCTTCAGTTCTCATGTAAGGACTCTTCACTTTTGGCCAAGATCTTCTTTGGGACTGCACACTGAATGTGCTATTCAGGGATAAATAATTGAGACAGCAAATCAACAGATGTGAAGTGGTAGTAATTTCAATCAAGTTTTTAACTTATATTTTGATTTCAAGCACAATAATTTAAAATCTTTAATTATCAAAGAAACACACGTTACCTCTTGTTCCATCAATGCTGGGATTGTCCAACACCACAGAAATCTATTGTAATACTCCTAAAAAACTCATTCTTTCTTCTTTTCTTTAAATTTGGGATTCAAAACACAGTCATTTTAACATGCTGGGTGACTGAATTAAATGTATTACAAATTTGGGGCAAATGATGTCCCAAAACACACTCCAGTGTGACCATGGAGATATATGTGGAACAATTTAGGATGTAATAGAGTATGTTGGGTTGAAAAACATCCTTGGATGATAGAAATTGTCTGATCTCTCTGATGAAAAATTAAAGCTGAAATTCCTCCGTAATTATGCTGTGTCATGACCACATGTGTGTTTTGCAAGATAATAAGAAGCTTAATGAAAAGTTCATAAAAATTAAGGAAAATGGGAAATCATGTGATGCAAATATATGCTCACAACAGACTGCTCAGAATGTCATTGCTGGAGCGAATTGAAAATGAAACTGCAGAAACCTGTAAGGTCAGGTCCAGGCTGCCAGAAGAAGCAGTGCAGAGAAGCAATACAAGACCTGGAAGAAAATCCCCTCTTCCAAGCTGGAGCATTGTCTGGACTCAGCAGCTCAGCTGCAGGTGCAGTGCATCCCATTAGCCACAAAAATTTTTGTGTAGCCACAAAAATAAATCTGATGTGACACTGGGTACCTCGGGGTCCCTCTGCTCCCACCCTCTGGCTGCTCTAGGTTTGGCGCAGATGGATGTAAGTTAAGTGCAGAGGGTCTTACAGCAAGGCTTGACGGGTTAATGAAAGACCTGAGGCAAGAGAAGCCATCCACCCTAGATCACCAATCTCTAGGACTGTACCTCTGTTTCTATGATTTTTCAGCTGGAATTTACAATAGTTTCCCATTTATTTGGGTGATGTACATCATGACACCTTCCTGAGTGGAGATAAATGTAAGACTGGCTGCAACACAGCTTCCCAAGCTTTTGCTAAAGGCAAAGTTTTGCAGAAAGTAGAAAGCAAACTGCCTTGTCCTTGCCCTCATCCAGGCCCTGGGCTGCTCTGTGCAGGCACTACAGGCCACTGGAGCTGCTGCTTTTGCAGATTTGCAGGCTGTAAGGGACACAAAATACCAAAATATCCAACCCAGTGCTCAAGTTCTTACATTTCTCTTGTCTCTGTTCTTCTGTACCATGGGCTTTTCTGGGAAGCTCCATTAGTTCAACTACTGATGTCCAGATGCAGAGGTTCCTGAAATCCTTCCACTGTTTTACATTGAGTTTGCATCCAGGGCTATGTTTGGGCAAATCTTCAACCAAGAGAAAATTGTTAAAAACCTAAGTCACAGATTTTACAGGTAAATTAATTATCTAGCTAAGCAGCCACTCCATCCTACAGACCAGAGAACAATGCTTGCCATGAGTCAGAGATTAGGGCTCTAACTGTGTTTTTATCATCTATAAAACCGGACATGCGGAAACTATGGTAGGAAATTTCAGTAATTAAAGCATAGGTTCTCCTAATTAACTGCAAAGCATCATTAAAATCTAATGAAACTGTAGTGGAGTAACACAGGACTCTGGCTTAATAGCAAGGAGATAAATGCAAATGGCAGTTGAATTTTCATGTAGTTGGAAGTTTATACAGTAGGACTGAATGCATTTACAGGAGTTTAGAATAGAAAAGCTCACTTTTAACACTTGTAAATCAGGATTAGGAAGTTAGGGTATTGGTGTATAAGAAGTTAACATATTAAAGAATGTGGCATACTGAAGCACAAGAATCAAAGAAATAAAGATTTTTGTTACTTAAAGTATTTGTATTTGTAGTGGTAAACTGAATTTCATAGCAGATGATAAATCAGAGAAGTGGTGTTGCAAAAACATGATGTAAGACTAAATTTTTCTGTGCAGGGATTTCATCCTGGAATACCTGAACAATCTGCACCACCCTCCCATATTGCACCAGAGATTCAACTGAAGAAAGAACTTTAAAGCTCTGCAAGCACATTTCAAGAGTCATCTGTCATCTGTCATGACTCTTCCTTAACTCCTTTGGACCCTTGGCCTTTAAGTTCTCAGGAGGGAAATCATGGATACTGAAGTTTGACTGCCTAATTTAAGCTGACGTGTACCAGGTCCACAGGAGCCACAGGAGCATGGCTGATCCTCACTGAACAAAAATCTGACCCCAAAGCTGTTTTATCTTGCCTTATGTTCAAGGCATTGCAGCTGGAACCCTTCCCTCATCTGACTTCAGCTCTCTGAAATGTCCAAGGCTGGACAGGCTCACTGCACATGCAGTGCAGAAAGAGAATTCTTGAGGACAAGCCTTGAGGTCAGTCCTGGCACATGATGAATCGCTCTCCAAAGATGATCTTCTAAAACCAGCTTTTGAAGAAACCTAAATTATCAGTTCCTTCTGAAGGCTAAAGTCCTGCAGGACTTCCACCCTGTCATGGATGCCAAGGGTATCACATTCTCTGTGCCTCCCTACCAAAGGGCCAAAGTGCCATTCCAGAGATTTGAGCTCAGGGAGATCAATCTCTACTGCCATTAAATCTTATACTAATTATGCTGATGGATACGTCTATGGCCTGGGCATCAGCAAAAGGTCCAAGCCAATCAAACTCATTTAATTGCAATGCACAGATGCCAATACTTCTCAGGATAATACAGATGTAGTTTAGACACCAAACTATGTTCTTGGCCTAATTTGAAGACCAATTTCCCATTGATTTCAATAGTTAAGTACATTAAAATTATTTAGTATTTAGAACCAAGACTGGAAGGAAAGCAGAAAACATTTACCACAATGAAAAATAAAGGCATACATTGAAAACAGTATAACAGTCCACTCTAAAAACAACAATTTTTTTTCCAAACACAGACATAATAAAGGTGTAACATGCAGTTAAGAATTTGTTAGTAAATTATAAGCTGCTATACAGAAGAAAGCACACAATGGACACAAACTCTTGCTATCTAAAGTGTTACCTCAGGTACTCATACCTTTTCTGTGTCAATTCCTTTAGACATGGACCAGGTTGAGACAATGTAATCCATGACTCTTTCACTAAGGCCTTTTGGGACTTGATATAATTTTAGGAAATCCCTCACATTGTTCAGCATCTCGTGGTACCGGTTGGTGTTGGCATACATTTGCTGGAAAATGGTGGTGACGTTTCCAAAAATAGTTGCATAAAGAAGAGCTGCAAAAAAAAAAAAAAAAAAGAAAATATATATGTATGCTCCATTAAATGCTAATCATAATTCAAAGATAATGTCAGAGAAGTTTATGGTTTACACTCTAACATTAGACATTACAGACTTTTCAGAAAAGAGAAATATTCTGGTATCTCATAATACCAATGTGCTGCGCTACTTCTGTTTTTGACATTATCAAATACACAGAAATGTGCCTGTCATTTTTAATAATCTTTGCTCAGACATACTTTATAGCAGAATTCAGTTATGCATTTCCATATTGCTTAAAAAAAAAAACCAAAACAACTGCAGCCTACAAATGGTAAGAAATAAACCACTGTGAAAGGAAAAAATGCCTTCTATCACTCAGTGCTTAATGTCTTCCCTCTACACAACCCATTTCTACCTCATTCCAGAAATCTCACTTTGTTTCAAACCAATTTACTATTGTACATCACCCCTACGTGAGAGGTGGCATTTTTAAAGCAACATGGTGTTCTCCTAAAACCTATCTAATAGAAGAACTGTACTCCCATTTCACACTGTGATATTTATGTGTCCAGCTAGAAATCAGATGTCGAAGTTCATCACAAATACAGGATTCAAACCCAACAAAGTCACACAATGTGTAGCACAAATGAACACAAGATTTCTGTTTAAGAAAACAGAGCAGAATAACAGTCTGTGTGATGCTGCAAGGGCAGGTTTTTTCCTTGCTTTTCTGATTGCTGTGTCATATCTGCAAGCTACAGAAAGATTTTTCTATTCCTCTGTATCCATTCAGACATATATCAACACTTAAGAGTACAAGCATATGGATTATAAGAAAGTTTAGATGGATGAATGCCACATGACTTTTTAAACTTCTTTAGCTTTCTCTGCTCTTTTGGACTTCTGCAGCAGGACAAACCTGATGAAATATCACTTCTCTTAAGTGCAACATCCCTCATCCTTTTGAACAGTTGCTGATTTATCATGCACTCATCTCATCAGGTATGTGAGGGCACAATATCCCTGATGTTAGATGTTACTGCAAATCATTATAAATGTATAGAGAAGCCCCAATTGCCCCCAAAATGCTGTTTTTCTGCAGAAGTAGAATTCCTACAACCTCCAACTACAGCTAGACTGCACCTGCAAATCCAATTCCTGCAACCCAGCTGGCCATGCAGACTTACCCAGAGCACACAGGCTGATTGAAAATGTGCCCTGCAAGACTGGCACAGAGAGATGCAACTCTGTCACCTGACAGGCTGGAAACAGCTAAAAATGCCATGGAGAAAACAGCTTGTCTGAAGCAACTGGCACCTATTACCTCCTCTTGGCAGAGAGGATTTGTAGAAAAATATAAAGCCAGAGAAGAAATTCTGGGTTTATGTCTCATAATATAGGGTCCTGGAAAAGTTGTACTTAAAAAAAAAAGTTTCTTCGAGAAATTATGGGTAGAATAAATTATTGAATCAAGCACACAAAATCCCTGTAAACACCAGCCAGCAATACCTCAGGAAGCCAGAATCCACCAGGCTGTGGAGTCTGCACAGGCAAACTCAGCATTGTTTCTCTGTTGGAAACTAAAGCTTTCCTTTCCGATTGGAAATGGTAAAAATTTTTGAGTTCATCCAAATACTTCACTTCTCTCACAGGTTACTGCATGGGGGATCTTTGGCAAAGAGTTGAAGGGAACCTCCTTAGATGTTCACAGTTTTGGAGCTGTGCCTCAAAGGCTCTCCTCACTCGTGGTGCTCCCCCGTGCCCACACCCTGCTGAGGGTGGTTTGCAGGTTTTGGGGGGAGAGAAGATTTTTCATAATTTACCTCTCTCTGTAAGTCCTCTCCCCATTTCTGTTCTCTACATAGTAACTAGAAAAGGAGGTCATTTATAAAAAGCTGATTTTATAATTTTGCAAGCCTTGGTATGAAACAGAAGTTTGGAGATGCTGACAAGCATCTAATGCTGATGGCACCTTCAATGGGTTAAGGCTCTCCATCAATAACCCATATTGTCCATAATTAGCAAGTGAAGATTTGTCAGAGAATCTCTATTTAATGAGAAAATATTGAAGTGACAAGTGTGAGTCTTACCCCTCACCTATAAAAAAAAACCAAAGGCAGATAAGCACTACCAAGGGCATTTCACTTTTGCTGTATTTTAATTATTTTTGGCAGGTGGAATTGGCAGTAAAAAACATGTGCAAAAGGTTCTGAAAGGAAAGAAAATATAATGCTGTGCCTCTCTTTACAGTAAAAGTATTTAAACAACCTCTAAAGAAATCTCTGAAGTTATTCATACACTTAAAACTCAATAGTTTTAATTTAGTCTCTCCATTTACAATAAACAGGAAAGACGAGGTTGAAGGTGAAATTATCCAATTTCATTAAAAAACTGCTTAGGTCAAACTGCATTTATTCACCTTCTCTATAATCACTTGAATTTCTCCAAACATTTCCTGTTATGTTCCTAAAGTCATGCAACACTCATTAACTCAATTGTTCTATGTGTGTAGATCTGGAACAGTCTTCACTAAATTTTATAGAGATAAATTTGATGTAATGATGCAGAAATATTTTTTCTCAGTCCTAAAGGTGAGATAAGTGGTTCAACTATAATTGTAGTTTCTATTTTTACCCTTAAGTGTGGAAAAGCTCCCCAAAATTACATACAAGAACCCAAGTACTATATATTTTTACATATAAAATGTTATTACATTTGTACTTTTATAAAACATTTCTGAATGATTTACCAATGGTGTTACATAAATGTTTTAGCCTATTTAAAAATAAGGAACTTTCTGGAAGAAAAAATGATTCAGACTTACCTAAATAATCCCAAAGCATTTCAGATCTCGTATTATCCTGACTGTATGCTAAATACATCCAGATAGGAACATCTGCCTTAAGGAACTGAAGGTTTAATTGAGAGATCTGATTTTCCTTACATCCTGGAATATTATTAATCCAAGCATATACAATGTTCCTCTAAACTGCAATTGTGAAGAAGATTAGTGAGGTGGTACCAGCCTCTTCTTCCAAATATCAGTCAACAGGACAAGTGGAAATGGCCTCAAGTTGTGCCAAGGGAGAGTTAGATTGGAAATTAGGAAAAATTTCTTCACTGAAGGAGTGTCCAGCATTGGAAGAGGCTGCCCAGGGCAGTGGTGGAGTCACCATCCCTGAAGGGATTTAAGTGACAGCAGATGTGGCACTTGGGGACTTGGTTTAGTGGTGGAGTGGGCAGTGCTGGGTTAATGGTTGGACTCAATGACCATAGAGGTCTTTTCCAACATAAACAACTCTATGAGGCAGTGATCATGGAAAAATATAGATTTTCATTTCTGCACATTGAGGCTAGCTGCAATTTCTTCGACTAATTCTTGACATAAGCTATTCCTGCAAGATTTTAAGGTAAGTATTATTAAATTTCTATCATTCAGGAGAGATTAAATGAGAACTCCAACATATATTTTTTGCGCTAGGTTTGCACAGCCTAATTTTGGTACTGAGAGGGTGGCTTCTGTGTACACAGGGGTGGCTTCTGTGAGAAACTGCTGGAAGCTCCCCCCACGTCCAGCAGACCCAATGCCAGGCAGCTCCAGGACAGATGTGCCACTGGCCAAGGCCAATTAGAAATGATGGTAACACCTCTGTGGTATCATATTTAAGAATAATAAAGAAAAAAAAAAAAAAGAAAAAAAGGTATTGTGCAGATGTAACTGCAGCCACAGAAGAGAAGGGTGAGAAATGGACAGAAAGAAGGTGGGTGTCTGGCATCCAGACAGGGTCAAACCACGACAATTTACTAAATATAAATGGAGAGAAACCCAGTACCCAAATATCTGATTTATGCTTTTAGAAGCTGAGCAGTTTTCTGTTATTTCTTTCCATCTCACCTTAATATATCTGCTCGGACTGCAAAATGTTTGCAGGCTCTGTTTGATGCAACAGCAGGCAGTGGCCATCTCCTACATCTCAAACAGCCTCGCTGAGATGCTGCAGCAGCAGCAAAACGCTGCCACTTTCTTAACAGAAATAGCTTTCCTCAGATCCACCAACACATTTCTACCAAGTTACTACTTGGGAGAAAATAGTCCTGCTAAGCCCCCTCCCCCATCACTGTTTTTTAGCACTTCTTTGATGCCAGCCCCAGCCTCCCACCTCTCCCCCTCAGGGACACTCCTGTCTGCCAGCTGTGCCTGTGAAAGCACCAACACAGCCCGGTGGTTTTACAGCTCTTCAAAAGGCCAACCCTGATTCTAAATCCTTGGCCCTACTAAATATTTTGCTGTTAAAATACTCTCCCCCATCCCAGGAATGTTTTACATCAGTGTTCAACCACTGTTTTTCCCCATTTACAGGCAGATGCCAACACCAGAGCACAGTAACTTTTACATTTTTCTTCTAAAACTACCCAAAGCATTTAAAAAAAAACTTTCTTCCAATTACCCCTGCAGCCCATGACACATCATCCAATGTATTTATCCTCCCATAAGTGTGCATTGTCAAACCCACCTTGCAGAGGAGAAGCTAATGGGCAAAGCTCTGGATTCAGCCATGAAATTCAGCTCTGAACTCCTCACCAAAACCATCTGAAACCAGGGGGGAGTTGCACACAGCTGTGTCTGGTCAAAAGTCCACTATGATTGCAGGTTCCAGTCTGATCCCACCAGCAGCCTGGCCCAGATGTGTGTCCTGCATTGGGTGGCATTCCTACATCCCACTCTGCAGCCACACAAGGTGCACAGCTCCTCTTGGGTCCTGGGTCCAGCTGATATCCACCCCTGCTTTCCTGGCCCAGCAGCTCCATAGAATTCACAGAATCACTGGGTTGGAAGAGACCAATAATGATCATTGAGTCCAACCCACGCCCCAACACCTCAGCTAAACCATGGCACCCAGTGCCACATCCAGGCTTTATTTTAAACCTTCCTGATACTACAGTAGTGCAAATCCTAAATTAAGATAACAGTGGTAATAAAGGATAGGCCTGTAAAATCCCTGTTAACATTGAT